TAAAGCACAAAATAAAATTAATGTGTTTGCCCTTAAACAATAAAGGAAAATTTAATTGGGTGTCATCAAACTGCCTATTTTTTTACCTAATTTATCTCCTCTCTAAGTCTATATTTAATCTGATAAATACTCCACATTTATCTCAATCTACTTTAAAGTTGAATATAAGGTAATCATGAAGATTAGATCAAGTGATACACGTAATCATTAATCTGCCTCATTCCATCTGCAGTGTTTTTTTCAAATTGTGGTCCTTTGACAGCATTATGAGCATAACATGGAAACATTAAAAATGTATATTTTGAGGCCCCACCCAGACTTTCTGATCAAAATCTGTGAGTGAGACCCAGCAGTCAGTGTTTAACAAGGTGTTTAGGATATTATGATGCACACTCAAGGTTGAGAACAACTGCTCTAACTATATCTGATTTTGATAGATTAGCTTTATTAATAACATTATTAGTAATATTATTAGATGGCATTTCAAAGATAATCTTTGTTATTTAAGATTATTTAATCAGAGAGTACTGCAATAATTGTTAGGAGGAAATTTTCTTAAATCTATATAGTCAAGCAACAAACATAAATATTAATATATCAATTATATGTTGTTGACAAAAATATGTCTAGAAAAATTTTAAAAACGCTATCTACACTAAGTAGTTTTTCACAGTCACCATGAGTTTGAGGAATTTCTTCACATTTATATTTAGCTAATGTGTCTTGTGCATATTTAAACATCATTGCCTCTTAGCAATAACATTTTTAAAGATTGTTTTTCAGGTGAAATTAAAATGGAGCTGAATTTCATTGACAAGTTCTCTGGGCTATAAAATCATTGTTTATGACACCCTTTTTTGCAATTTGAACAGTCTTTGAAGCACTTCCTGACTAATGTTATCTTGAAAGTGTCACTGATAAAATTAAAAAAGATAAGTGATTTTCCATAGGAGGTTTCGTAGTTTAGAAAGTATTTAACAACTTTCATAGTTGAGAAAGTTTATTAAGTTAAATAAAGATGAAATGTTTTATTTAAAGAGAATGGCTAAATCCATTTAAACCTTATTATTTTGGACTCTAGTAGTTCAGAAAAGGTTATATCTGAAGTAAGAATATAAACTTCTGCCATTACTCGAGGAAAAAAAGAATTTAATACTTAATAATGTATAAGAAAGTTGGAAACAATTTTAAGCTGATTAAGAAAAAAATTCAAACTTTCAATGGCATTCTTTTTTTCCATTGATTATTAACAGCCTGTTGATAATGAATGCTTGTTTTATACTCATTAACAGGCACAGATAAAGCTAAACTTATTAAAACCATTCTTCTGTTTCCATTTTCTAATAATTTAGATAGATAGTACTTTCTTATTTGATTCTAAAGTAAATCTTATTCCCTTGCTCTTTGCCTTCTAGTTGTACTTTTTCATTTATGGTTTATAGATGTTTTTAGTCAGTTCTTGCTGTCCTGTCCATCTTCTGATTCCAATGCTTCATTTGGTTGCTTGTTCCCTTATCCAAGATTTCAGTTTTCTGCTTCCTGTCCCCCGTTTGCCAGTGTTCTTACATTTAGGTTTTTGCTCTCCATTCTCTTTCCCCTCATCTCTGCTTCTCAACCACTGTTTTCTGGGTTTGGTTTCTGGATTTTTGTATTATTCCTGGTCTCTAACTGGTATAATCAAAACTGCAAGGATGTAAGGAGAATTGGAAAGAAGAGGCATAAAGAGAATTGACATATATTGAATGCCTATTCTATGCTAGGTGATTTAATTCTCATAACATGTAGGTAGGTTTTGTTATTATCTCTTTTATTCATAAGTACACTGAACCTCCAAGAGGTTTTGTACTCCTTCGCAGAGCAACTGAGTGATACAGCTGGGTTTCAAACCTATATTGGTTCATTTATTCATCCTATATTTAATCAACAAGTATTTATTGAGTACACATACTATAGTGGGGCACTGTACTAAGTGCTGCAATCTATCCAGCTCTTGCTCTCATGAAGCTTAACTGTGTGGTGGAATTGTCTGATGTCAGAGATGGTGGTCTTTCTGCTCTACCAGCCTTAGTAGGAGAGAAAATAAATAAAAAGTAAATAGAAGGGTTCTGATATTTTATTGAAAAGATATATTGGCTATAGATGTTTTTTTTTTTAAAAAAAGACTATTTTTCCATTATTTAGAAAGACCTTATCAAAAAGGTTGATTTGTGTCTAGTCCTAGAAAGAGTTTGACAATTTCAGCACTCACCACTGTAGACATTAGTGCCTTTTAGTGGCATCACCACAGTATATATTTTCCTATTATGGTCTAAAATAAAGAAACTATGTGTTTATAGGCCCAGATTATCTAGAGGGCTTCACCATCAATTGTCCTCCCTAAATTACGTTTAGAAAAAAATGAAGATTTCTGTATGAAGAATACATTTATTCATCCATCTATCCATCATCTTTATATGTATTAATACTCTGAAAAGTATTTAGGATGGTTTGCCCAAATATGTAAAAACAGAACTTTTAATAACATAAATGTGGGGAAATTAAGCAAGGAAAAGTAAGATGAAATTAAGTTGTGTTCTGTACTAAAAAGTATCCATAAGTCTATCTCTGTTTTCAAGGGTAACTTGATTCACAACCATTAATTTTTTAAAAGATAAAACAAAACTGGTTACACAGAGGAGTACCCATTCCTGGACATGACACTTCAGAGAAAGTTTCTCCTCCCCCTAAAGAGGATCACAGTGCAATGTGACATACAATGGCCTCAAATACTTACTAATATAAATACGAGTTTTACTGAGCCATTTCATTGGATCTACTTACATACAGTGAAACAATTCTTTGAAAAGTGGGAAGAAGCATTCTAGGTAGACCACTGTGGCCCAACCAAACCCAGTGGTATATTTTAGAGAATCTATAGAAATTAGTGAATTGCATCTCTTATAGGTTATTGTCGTATGTAATTCATTAATCAGGGTTATACAAACACTGAGTTTGCACACTCTTAAAAGTTTGTTTTGTTCACTACTGTAACATCAATGCCTGGAATAATACCTAGTAAATACTAGATTTTTTTTTAAGATTTTATTTTATTATTTATTCGTGAGAGACACAGAGAGAGAGAGAGGCAGAGACACAGGCAAAGGGAGAAGCAGGCCCCATGCAGGGAGCCAGATGTGGGACTCAATCCCGAGACTCCAGGATCATGCTCTGGGCTGAAGGCAGGCACTAAACCGTTGAGCCACCCAGGGATTCCCATTAGATGTTTAATAAATATTTGTTGTATGGATAAATGTTATTACTTGAAGTATCTGTTTAAGAGAAAAGACTTCTCAGCGACTTTTACATTTTCTTCATTTGTCCTTGAATAAAGTGTGTTAATTTACTTGGAGTACATCATCTTTACGTGGATACCAAGTTGATTAAATGCTGAACACTGCTCTTGTGACTATTTCAAACAGATAATGAAATAATTATTAGTCCTACCCAAAGAATTCTCTTAAGATTGTTCTCTACGGTTTTACAGTCTCTAAGAAAAGGTTGTAAACATCAATAAAGCAGTTCGTAATGCAGAAATAATGTTTGTTCTCAGGAGATCTCAGAATCATACCAGATATTTGAATTTGGAAAACAACTGATAGATTCTAGATAATGCTAGCTTGACATTTTTTCAGCTATATATTTAAATGAAAGTAATCAATTCTCACACTTAGGAATTTAGGAGTTTCCTAGAGAATTAAAAAATTCTGTATTTTTAAGGCAGGTTTATTGAAAAGCATTATGATAGTGTTAATATTTCTTTAAAATTTCTGCTGTTGTTAAATATTGCATTATGCTGGAATTCGGCAGACCAGTAGATCACATCAATTCTGGTAATTGTTTACTCTATATAATTATAAGGTATTAAATAACTAATTTATATGTGTTTTAAAAGTTTATTTATAACATCAACCAGCATCTAACATGTATTTGATGTATTTTATTTACTTTGTCAAGGCCCTAACTAATTTTTGCCCAGAGCTACAATCTTATTTAGTACTATCCCTCTACTTCTAATAAAATACTTTTAAAAATCAACCTTTCTTTATATTCCTCCATAATTTGCCTTTTATTTCATTTGCCTTTCTTCTTATTTACTGGAATAGGTTTTGGGTTTGTTTGTTTGTTTGTTTGTTTTTGCAATCTTTTTTCCTATATTGCGCCCAATTATTGTAACCTGTTACATCTATAGAAATAGAAGATTAGGAATGGATTCAGTTCTGTATGCCTAAAATATATCTTTACTATCACAGTATTATAAATGTATCTATTTGATTGACCTTTAGAAAATGAAACTTTGCTGTCTTCTTTATTCTATTTCTTCTATTTCAAGAAGAAATAGAATGACTACCCTTGTCTTAAGAATACTCTATCTTAAAACTTCTATTATATAGTTAAAGCCTACCACCTCATTGATTCTTTTTTATAATAATAAGATAGTTAATTTACATTGAAAATATGAAGATGGTAAATTGAGGTTTTCTTCTACCTGATACATGAGAAAGTTGATGTGGTGACTTCCTGAGTTCATTTTAATTATATCATAAAATAATAGATCTGGGAGAGATACAAAATTATCTCAGGTTTTAGGGATTATTTCATGTGCAATAGTTGAAAAATACCCAGATTTCTTGCCCTGTGAAAATCTATTGAGCTATTACAGCAATCTAAGGCTATGTCGTAAATTTAGGTTCTTAGATGAGATTTACATCAAATACCTCTGAGTTGTAAGAGATAAAGAGGTCCACTAATATATCCTATTTCTCTGGAGGTCCTGGTTCTCAGCTTTTATTCAACGGTCTCAAAGAACCGGGTCTTGAGACCTTAATTACAATGTTTAGGAACTATAAAGTATGGTCTATAGAAAGCAATATTTATAATTACTTTTTAAATTAAGTTTACTACTCTGCCTTCCTTCTTTTTGGTTAATTTCACTCAGTCTGCTATTTAATCTTTAATTACAGGCTACAAAAGAAGTAATAGAACGGGAAGCGCCAGGGATGGCCCTGGCAATGCTGATGGGATCACTTAATGTTACACCTCTGGGCATGCTCTCTAGGTAAGAAAGCACTAACATGTTGCAAAGAAAATTAATTCCATACTACTAATCACTACAATAGACTAATAAATATAAGAAATTTAAGTCAATAACACTTAAATGTGCTCCCTTTTTTCCCCCAGAGTTGACTCTTAGTATCCTAATTAAATCTTGACCATTTTCCTTCAAGTTTTTTTTTTACATGTATGTTAAACTTTCAGAAGATACTATACTTTGCTGAAAGCTGTCAATCCTAACCCAGAGAAGAGTCCAGTTTATTAAGATGTAAAATTATTTTTGCGTATGATTATTTGTAATCATTGATAAATATTCATTAATTGTCATCAAATGCTAGTTTAATAAAATGAAACAGTAGACTTTTTTCCTAAAGTTATTCTCATATATTAAGAATTTGTAAGTAGGTATATTCATGTGTGACCATAAAAAGCTGAATTAATATATTAGTAGTATATTAAGTTAGTATATTTAAAATTATGCCTTTGTTGACACAGATGTTGACATCCATTCTCTGTGTGACAGTTATTTTTTTGTAATTGTTTTAGTAACTCTTAGAATAAAACCTTTAATGAGGACAACATACATCATTTAAGTTAAACAGAAGTATCGACTTAGGATCTGTTGATTTAATGAGCATTGATTAATAGGCAGTTGATCTCAGAGCAATCTAAAAATACATAGCAACTTTATAATTGAACAGTTTCATAATTGTTATATATAGCTGCTTATTCATCCTATGTGTAATATGAATATAAAGCGAAATATATCTATATAACACATGGAATATGAATCATGATGCCCTTTCTGTTACTTAGACAGGTTTTATATCCCGTTAATGGTAGCCACTTGAAGCACAGCTACAGGGAAATGTGAATTGGTCATTAGTTACTGTATTATTTTTGCTGTCACATGTCCTATATTAGAACATTTAATTTTAGTAAGAGCAAAAATGAATTACAAAAGCATGTAGAAATTATACATTTAAAAGTCTGTGCTGATCTTTTAAGGAGCTTATATTGATCCTTATATGCTGTTCTTTTTTTTTTTTAATATTTATTTCAGAGAGAGAGTGGGGGGGGGAGGAGCAAAGTAAGAGGGAGAAAGAAACTCAAACTGACTTCATGCTGAGCGCAGAGCCCAATGTGGGACTTGATCTCATGACCCTGAGATCAGACATGAGCCAAAAGTGAGAATCAGATGCCCAGTTGACTACTCTACCCAGGCAAACCTATGCTGCTCTTTTTTAAACCATTCTTACATTGCCTATACTTCTGAGGTCAAGGGTCACATTTGATCCCTTTACTCTATGGAATTGAGTAGTGACCTTTGAACATAAAAGAACTCTTTCTTGGCATACAATACTATAGTCAAGAAAAAGTAAACTTCTTTTATCAATTCTTTTGTTAAAAAAATCTTGTTCAGCAAACATAATACTCTATTTGCTAGGTCCCATATTAACCATCAGGGATACTATGGATAGAAAGAAAAATAAGGCATGGTCCTCACCTTAAGGATCCTACAGTTTAGCTGGAGAACTTATTCTTTGCAACTGTTAAGGTAACTCTTTATAGCTTTCTTGATCCAGCATAGTAGAATCACTTTTTGTCTTATTGAAAGATTTTTCTGGATTAATTCCTCTTTTACCTTCCAAATCCACACAATTGCTGAGGACTGGACTGTTGAGTAAATGGAAAATTAATCAGCAGGAGTTGATCCTAAATACTTTGGAATAAGTCCATCATCTTTATACTGAAGGCTTTGAAAATTAAAATAAATATACAGTATAGTAACATATTCCTTTGTCTTTTCTTTCTGTTTATTGCTGATTTAACTGAGAATTTGTTTTCAAATTTAAAACAGAAATAGTAGTATATGTGAGTTATGCATAAGAAATTATGGGATATTTTCCTAAATGTTCATTTTTGGGAACATTTTCAGGGCCTTTTAAAAATTAATATTTTGAAACAGCCATGATTAGATTGTTGTTTCCTTTCTATACCATTTTTACCTTGTATGTACCTTAGGCTTTGTACATGCTTCTGTTATAGCAAATGCTATATTGTAATTATGTACTTATTTGTATTACCTAATTTATATAAAATCCTTAAGAACCAGGACTTTATCATATTCATTTTTACATCCTCAGACCCTAAAATAACTTCTGACACATAGTAAGTACTCAAAAAATGTTTTTATAATTACTGTTGATAAATCAGTGTTTCATCCTAATTCTATAGAATTTTTTTCTAAGTAGTATATGAAAGTTGTTGCCTCTCCTTCCTATTTTTATCTCTAGAGAGCAGCATTAAATAAAAATAATTTTTAAATTACTAAATCTGTTTAAAATGGTTTTCATCTATGTGATGAAATATCCTCCAGTTATTATGTGTAAGTCAGTTACAAGATAGTATCAAATAATAGTTAAGACCATCATCTCTGAAGCCAGACTGCTTGGATCGCATTCTAGCTCTACTACTCACTAGCTACTTAACATTTTTTTGTTTTTGTTTTCTCTTCTGCATATAAGGATAATAGTAACAACCTTTTTTTGGATTACATGAGTTCATATAAAATGCTTAGAAACAACAACTGATTCATAATAAGTCTTATTTAAGTGTTGGTCACTGTTGTGGTGTTGTTATTGGTTGACAGCAAGTCTGCTGACAATGCCTTCTAGTAACTTTCCTTCATCTGGAAATATCTTCGTTCTACCTTCATTCCTGAAAGATATTTTCACTAGATTAAGAATCCTGGATTGGCAGTTATTTTCTTTCAGCACTTGAAAAAATATCATTCACCTGTCTTCTGGCTCTATGTTTCTTACCAAAACTTAAATGATACACAGAAAGCAATGCTAACAGGAAAAGTTATAGCTGTAAATGTTTACATTAAAAAAAAGAAAGATATCAAAAACAACTACATAACATTACAATTTAAGGAACTAGAAAAAGAAAAAGAAATCCAAATCTAGCAGAAGGAAGAAAATAATAAAGATTAAAGCAGAGATAAATAAAATAGAAAATGGAACAATAATATAGAAAAATCACTTAAACCAAATATTGACTCCCTGTAAAGATCAACAAAAACTGAAAAAATTTTAGCTCTATTGACTAAGAAAAAGAGACATGACTCACATTACTAAACTCAGAAACAAAAATGGGGACATTACTGCCAATTCTATAGAAATAAAAAGGACTATAAGAGAGTACTGTGAACAACTGTATGCCAATAAATTGGATAACCTAGATGAAATGGACAGATTCCTACAAACACAAAACCTACTCAGATTGAATCAGAAAAAAAAAAAGAAAATCATATAGATCTGTAATTAGTAAGAAGATTGAATTAGTAATCAAAAACCTACCTTTAAATAAAATGGCTATACCAGATGGCTTCACTGAAGAATTCTACCATACATTTGAAGAAAAACAGATACCAGTCCTTCTCAAACTCTTCTAAAAAATGGAAGAAAGGGGAACACTTCCTAACTAATTCTCTGAGGCCAGCATTGTCTTGATACCAAAGCCCAACAAAGAACTACAAGAAAACTACAGATCGGTATCCATTATGAACATTGATGTAAAAATTTTCAACAAAATGCTAGCAAAAACAAATTCAGCAGTATATTAAAAGGATTATACACCATGACCAAGTGGAATATATCCCTAGCATCCAAGGGTGGTTCAACATATGAAAAGCAACCAATGTAATATATCACAGACACATGTGTGATATACCACATCCAGAAAAAGCATTTGGCAAAATTCAGTATGTTTTCATATTAATGGCATTCAACAAACTGGGAGTGGAGGGAAATTACTTTAACATAATAAAGGCTTGGGGATCCCTGGGTGGTGCAACGGTTTGGCGCCTGTCTTTGGCCCGGGGCGCGATCCTGGAGACCCGGGATCGAATCCCACATCGGGCTCCCGGTGCATGGAGCCTGCTTCTCCCTCTGCCTGTGTCTCTGCCTCTCTCTCTCTCTCTCTCTGTGACTATCATAAGTAAATAAAAAAAATTAAAAAATTAAAAAAAACATAATAAAGGCTTATATTAAAAAACATACAGCTAACATCATAATGGTGAGAGGCAAAGCTTTTGCTCCAAAGCAAGATTAAGACCAGGATTCACACTTTTGCCACTTTCATTAAACTTACTATTAGAAGTTATAGCCAAAACATTAAGCAGGAAAAAAGAAATAAAAGGTATCTAATATGGGAAGGGAGAAGTAAATTTATCTTCTCTCTGACATGATCTTATTTGTAGAAAACCCTAACAATTACACACACACACACTATTAGAAATAATATACACATTCAGCAGAGTTGAAGATACACATCAACATCCAAAAATCAGTTGTGTTCCTATACATTAACAACAAAAAATACAAAAAGGAAATTTTGAAAACAGTTCCACTTAAAATCACATTAAAAATAATAAAATTCTTAGTAATTAATTTAAGGAGATGAGAAACTTGTAACTGAAAACTATAAAACTTTGCTGACAAAAATTAAAGAAGATTTAAATGACTGGAAATAAACTCCATGTTTATGGTTTGGAAGACTTAATATTGTTAATATGTCAATACTACCCAAAGCAATTTGCAGACTTAATTCAATCCCTATCAAAAAACAGCAGTGTAACTTGCAGAAATAGAAAATCCATTCTAAAATTTATATGGACTCCCCAGGGGGCCCAAAGAAACAAAACAACCTTGAAAAAGAGCAACGGAGTAGGAGGATTCCCTCTCCCTGTTGTCAAACTGACTGCAAAGTTACAGTAATCTAAGAAGTTGTACTAGAATTAAATCAGATTTTTAGTCCAATGGAATAGAATAGAGAGGCCTGAAATAAACTTGTGTATTTAACTTCAAATGATTTTTGAGAAGGGTACTAAGACAATTCAATGAAGAAAGTACTATCTTCAACAAATGGCTCTGGGAGAACTGGATATCCACAGGCAAAAGAATGATGTTGCCACATACTAAAATTAACTCAAAACAT